GGCATGACAGAGAAGGATAAGGAAGACAAGGAGGAGGAGACCTTACGGCGCACGAGCCGGTGGAGGTACCTGCTATTCTGACGAGCAGGGGGCCACCAAGAGAGGAGGAGGTGGATGTGGAGGAGGAGAAGGAGGGGAAGGGGCAGAGGCGCGGGGAGCAGCAGGTTGGGACGAGGAGGAGGAGGAGCAAAAGGCACGAGGAGAAAGAGGGAGAGGGGGGAGGAGCGCGAGGCCGGGACGCGGAGGAGAGGAAGGCAAGTGTAGGAGGCGGGAGCCACGCGGCAGGCCCCCAGGAAGCGAGATCATCGCGCGGCGCGCCCCAGAAATCACCACTCACCCAAACCACACCAACCTGCGCCCCAGAAATCACCACCCTTAAGTCGGGCCTGTCCCTTGTCCCTCTACAGGGGGGATATTCAAACATAGATTCAAACAAAGAACCTGGGGACGATTTTTCCAGTATTTTTTGAATGTTATGTGGTATTTCTTGGGTATTTTAGATTTGTCGTCCGAAAGTCGCCTGTAGGAGGATATGCCCGACCTAACACCACCCCCCTGAACCACCCCGACCGACTCACCCATCTGCCCTGCGTTTGCACTTGGGGGGGGGGGCGCGTCGGGGAACAATGAAAAAAAACATGTGGTATCCGTACACCCCCCCACCCCAACGCGCAACGTGGGTCTCCGGGCGGGTTGGGGGTCTTGGGCGGCCTGGCGTGTGGTCAGGAGAGAGAGAGAGAGAGAGAGAGAGAGAGAGAGAGAGAAAAAAAAAAAAAGAGACAGAGGGAGAGAGAGCCCGGGCGTCGGCGCGGCTCGCCCTCGGCAGGCGCCAGCGGAAGGGACGGTGAGACGCCATGAGTCTTTGATCGGGGGGATCTTTTCAGTTTTTGTTCCCCATTCTTTCAGCCATGAGGAATCCGACGGGGCTCGGACGAGAAAAAATCCGTTCCAGGGGAGAGGTTCTTTTTAGCTTCGACCAATCACGTCAGCGATGATGAGTCTGACGGTGCTCGGACGAGGATAGATCGGTTCAGGGGAATTGGTTCTTTCAAGTTTGTCCATCACCTCAGCCATGATGAGTCTGATGGGGCTCGGACGAGATAAATTTGTTTCTTGTGTTTTTTTTATTGTTTTCCCATCATCTCAGCCATGCTGAGTCTAATGGGGCTGAGACGAGAGTAAATCCGTTCGGGGCAATTGGTTCTCTGGTGTTTTTGCCCCATCACTTCAGCCACGATGAGTCTGACGGGGCTCGGACGAGGATAAATGCGGTCTGGGGAATTATTTCTTGGTTTCCGCATCACATCAGCCGCAATGATTCTGACCGGGGTCGGACGAGGATAATTCTGTTCCAGACATTGTTGTTTGGTTGCAGCACTTCAGTCATGATGAGTCTGAAGGGGCTCGGACGAGGATAGATCCGATCCGATCCGATTCGTTTTTGTCTAATCAGTTCAACCATGATGAATATGACGGGCTTCGGTTGAGGATAAATCGTTCTGGGGCATGTGCCATTTTTGTTGTGCGTTTCCTTCATTTCAGCCATGATGAGTCTGACTGGAATCGGACGAGGACCAATCAGTTCCAGAGATTGTTTGTCTTTTTCCAGTTCTTCAGCCATGATGAATCTGACGTGGTTCGGACGTGGACACATCTGTTCCAGGGAACCGCGTTATTGTCTTGTTCCGTCACTTCAGCGATGATGAGTCTGACGGGGCTCGGACGAGGAACAAATCAGTTCCGGGGGATAGGTTCTTTCATGTGTTTACCATCATTTCAGCGATGATGAATCTGACGGGGCTGGGACGAGGCTGAATCCGTTCTTGGGAATTTGATTTGTTTCAGTTTTTGTCCAGTCATTTTCGCCATGATGACAGTGCCGGACGAGGATACATCCGTTCCGGTGACTTGTTCTTGGTTGTCCCCATCATTTGAGCCATGATGAGTATGACGGGGCTTGGATCAGGATGATCCGTTCTGGGGAATTGTTGTTGTTCTAGTTGTTGTTCTTTCGTGTCAGCCATGATGAGTTCGACTTGGCTCGGACGAGGATCGGTCCGTTCAGGGGATTTTTTTTCTTAGTTGCCTCCCACCACTTCAGCCATGATGAATCTGACGGGGCTCGAACGAGGATAGATGCGTTCCGGGGAAATCTTCTTGTTTATTGCCATGATGCTTCTGACGAGATTTGGACGAGGATGAATCCTTTCCGGGGAACCGGTTGTTTTTCGTATTTCTCATCTTTTCAGCCGTGATGAATCTTACAGGGCTCGGACGAAGATTCTGGTCCACGGAAGTGATCCTCGTTCAGTTTTTCCCATCAGGTCAGCCATTATGAGTCTGACGGGGCGCGGACGAGGATGATTCTGTTCAGGGGAATTTGGTTCTCTTAATTTTTCCCAACACATCAGCGATGATGAATGTGACGGGGTCGGACGAGGATGCATCCTTTCAGGGGAATTGGCTCTTCTAAGGTTTTTCCATCTCATGCTGAATCTGCCGGTGCTCGACCGAGAGTAAATCCGTTCCGGGTACTTGTTGTATTTCCTCATTTCATCCATGACGAGGCCCGGACGAAGATAATTCCGTTCCGCTGTATTGGTCCTCTTCAGTTTTTTTTGGCCGTGATGAATATGACGGGGTTCGTTCGAGTATGAGTCCGTTCCGGGGAATTCCAGAGCGCTGTAAGTTCGTTCCAGAACGCTCTGAGAAGGCCGCGGCGCCCGAGACATCTTCCAGATCTGCCACTTGATATATCCTCACGCGATATGATCTTCGTCTTGGCTTCGTTCTCATGAATCAACTCCGCAGCTAGATGCGAACCAGGTCAAGCGATGCAACTTAACCCCATGCCCCAGATAATGAAACTCATCCCCCCGTTACATTCCCGGTCTTGATTATCTCCGGCCAAGACAGAGTTGGTCGGGGGAGAGGGGCGGCGAGGCCGAACATCATTATCCCCAGGGAACGTTACGAATCAAAGTTGCGACCTTTTCATGTTCAGAAGGGAACATTATCACGACCGTGTGGCTGGGCTATGGGGTTCTCACCACGTCAGCTTTCCCAAGTCACAAACGTGTGGCAGGGCGAATGTCAGCTTGTGATTATCAAATGGCCAGACCCCTCCCCTCCCCCGGGCTGCTGAATAGACCCCGCGGGGCGCGATACTTTTTACAAATCACGCGCGCCAGGGGGGAGGAGGAGGACGGAGGGGGAGGGAGGAGAAGGAGGAGCAGGCGGAGGACGAGGAAGAGGAGGAGGAGGAGGAGGAGGCCCGAGCGACGAAGAGAGCGGCCGCTGGAAACGGGCGCAGGCAGGGCGGGGGACGGCGGTGACGACGGCAACTGAGGGGGGGAGGAGGACTACCCGCCTTGCTTGGGTCGGACGAGAAGCTGGGGAAGGAAAGGGGGGGGGTGCGAAGCCTGCTGCGCGCAGCTGGTTTCGGTCGCCCCGCCGAAGGGCCAGTTCCCCACGCATGGCCGCTTTCGGCGCTGGGAGGTGCTTGGAAAATCGGCGACGTGAGCTGCTTGGCAAATTCCCCCTCCTCCTGCGCCCCACTTTCGTCCGGCCCGCCTTGCCCGCAGGTCCGCATCGGTTCGACCGAAAAACGGGCGCCCTGGCTCGCCCTTGCCTCCCATCCCCCCTTGCCTCTCGTTGGCGGCCGGGCGTCGGCGCTAATCACAGGTGCCGCTCTGTTGAGTTTCAATCTGGCGGGCGCCACCCCGCGATTCGCCCTAGCAGGGGAACTGTGTTTTAAACGCGCGCCCCCCCACGGATTTGTTAAGCAGAAAGTGACACTATGGGATTTTATTCCTATGTGCTGTCAACAGGGTGTTGTCGATGTGCTGCTGGCCACGTGGTGCTGTCTATCTTGTGATGTCTATGTGTTACCCGTGCATCCGTACATGCGACCCGTCGGGAAAAAAATGTTACCCCCCCCCCCGGACCCCGAAACTCAGTTTTTGCAGGGGACTAATATCGGGGCATTCGGTTACAGAAGTACAGAAGTGTGCATGTGTGTGTGGTCCTGCACGCGATGCCCCCGTCCAGCTATGCGTCGGAGCTTGGCAGAGGACTCCTTCAAGCGCCACGGTCCGTTGGTGGGAGACATGTCCATGTCCATATCCACGGTTTCGCGCGGTCTGGGTTCGACGGCCGCGGCCCCATCGGTGCAGGGCTGCTCTGGCCCGGCGCGGAACTGATCAACGGGATCGCGCACGGTCAGCACACCCAGTAAGGACGCGCGCTTTCATCCAGGGGGCCCTGTGTGTCCTTGCATCTGCGGCCCGTCCTTCGCCGTTTGCACGGGTCGCCCGCCGCCCCACAAGTCCCAATTTCTGTTTCCAAGGGTCTCGTGTCCTTTGCACCCGTCGTTAATACGTTTTTATTGTATCAAATGGATCACGTCTCAGCATCCAGTATCCAGACAGCGAGGGCGCAGGTCTTGACACGTTTCGGGGGCCTAGAGGTTGACACCAACACCAATATCCGCGGTGTGCCTCCGATGGAAGAATGTCCCGATCTTGGCGATGCTGGTCATACTCTGGCTTCCTAGGCGGCCGAAATATTACCGCCAACACCGAGATCTAGAATCACTTTCTTCCAGTGGAGGCAACCCTCTGTGTTGGTGTTGGTGCCCATTTCCAAGCCTCCAAACGTTTGTCGCCCGTGATGGGTGGTGGCGAAGTGTTGAAAGTGTCGGGGAGGACTTTAGGTCAGCAGTTGAAATCGCTTGATGCAAAGTCAGGCCGAAGTAGAAGATCGAGGGCCATTCGGGGAGGGGTCCCTACTGTTCCTCGTGCTTGTGGGATGCTCGTGTGCATCCCGGGGGAGGGAACCCTCGAATGTTCTTCATGTTGGCGGGCGGATGGTCTCGTGTTCTTGATGTTATTCTGGCCTAGGTCCGACTGCATCTGTTCAGGATAGCAGGGCGCAGAGATGAGAGACGCATGCGATTTGTGCACCCACCCTGGATTCCCCAAACAACTCCATGGCCGAAGTCCTACGACTCGTACAGCAAGCCGTCGTACGACAAGAGCTCCTACGAGAAGACTTCATACGACAGGGGATCGTACAGCAAAGCCTCATACGACAAGGGCTCGCAGGGGTGGTTGTCATAGCTGAAGGATGGGACATGGTTTTGTGCGTCAGCTTCTGCGTGCTTTGAGTGGATCTTGCGACTGTGACTTGAGTAATTGTTGCATCACTTGGCGCAGATCGATGACGACTCGCTGTGCTCGGGGGGCTGGCGAAGCGGAGGGCACCCCCCTCCCCGCTTCTTAGTGGGCCCCGGAAACGGCAGGGCCGTTTTTTCACCGTTTCGAGAAAGGGTCCCTTGAAAATGGAAACGGCAAAAAAACGGCGAACGGAAACGGCAACAAAAACGGCTCCAGGCGCGGAACCGGAGCGGGAACCCGCAAGAGAACGGCGACGGAACCGGCAAACAAACGGCAAAACGAAACCGGTAAAACAACGGCCTTGTCGATTCCAGGGCCCTTTGAGCCCCTACCCCTCCTCCTCCTCCTCCTCGTCCTCCTCCTCCTCCTCCTCCTCCTCCTCTCCTCCTCCTCCTCCTCCTCCTCCCTCCTCCTCCTCCCCTCCTCCCTCCCCCTCCTCTCCTCCTCCTCCTCCTCCTCCTCCTCCTCCTCCCCTCCTCCTCCTCCTCCTCCTCCTCCTCCTCCTCCTCCTCCTCCTCCTCCTCCTCCTCCTCCTCCCCCCGCTCTCATCCCACCCCACCCCTTCAGATATCGCCCATGCTCACGTTCTGCTACCGTGCCTCCACCTGCAGCCGCCCCCCCCCCCTCCGCCACCGCAGAGGGTCTCCCAGGAGACCCTCCAGGACGCGCCCGCGAAGCCAAACACGTGTTCAAAGACATAGGACATGTGCAGGAAGGAAAGAAGCACACAGACACAACGAATCGCCGACTCCCAGGAAAATGTTGGAAAATGTGGGAAGTGGGGGGGGGGGGAAGACGAAAACCCGGAAAGCATTTGAACACTACGGGAAGTCTTGGGATTTGTGTGTATTTATTTGTGTGTCCTTGGGCCCCTCCAAAGATATCGTTGGAGTTGGCCTTCTCGTGTGCTCGCTTCCGATGGGCCCCCCTGGCCTCCCGTTCGCCTCCCAGCGGCTCCCCGGAGGCCCGCGGCGCGCCCCCGAAAAGGCCCCCCCCAAGAGGGCCCCCAGCGGCCCCCCAACAGGCTCCCAACGGATCCCAAGAGGCCTCCCAGGTGTTCTCGGAGGGCCCCGCCCCAAGCTGCTCCGCACAAGTCCCCAAGAGGCCCCGGCGAGACCGCCAAAAGGCTCCCGCATGGTTCCAAAGAGTTCCCAAAAGTCCCCAACAGACCCCAAGGGGCTCCACAAGGCCCCCCCCCACGACCAGCAAGAAGCGCTTGACCCCTCTTGCAGCGCGAGACGCCCCCGGGAACTTCCATGGGCCGCGGCTCGTCGAGGGCGCTCCAGGGAGCCTCGAGGCAGGAGCGAGCACGCTGGATGGCGGGAGGCAGGAGGAGCGAGAACGACCAACACAGGAAGGGGGAGAAGCGGGTCGGAGGACGCACGCGTGGCTGAGCAGCGTCGCGGCAAAAAAGGGTCCGCTCCAGGAGAGCCCGGCGCGGGCTTGCCCGGGCGGAATATGCAGGAGAGACGAGGATGAGGCGGAGGAGGGACGAGGATGAGGCGGAGGAAAGACGAGGAGGGGGAGGAGGAGGCAGAGGAGGAGGAGGAGCAGGAGGAGGTAGCATTTTGGCCCCCCCCCACAGTGTGGGGCCCACACAGCCCACGCCTCGGGCCAGTAGACAGGAAACCACTTAGCCTCGCGAAGGGCCCCGCCCCTGTGCAGTTCCGTGTGGCGGAGGGTCCGGCCCTCTCTTCGTGCCTTGCGCCGTCTTGGTCAGGAGCGAAAGAAAGACGTACGTGTACATGAATCCACGCTGGTTTCGAGAGCATGCATTGCACAATCGACGGGCCGTGTTCATGTACATAGCTGGGCGCGTACGTCCTTTGTGGGCTCCCTACTTGGGCCGGTGTCGGATCAGGGCCGGGTCTCTCGGACGCTCTCAGGGGGCCTTTGAGAGGTGTCCTCGGGCTGCATCGGGAGACGCCGGGGCTGCCCTCTGGGCCGGTGTGGCGCTCCTGCTGCCTGCGGCAAGTCCCGTCCCCGTGCCCGGGTGTTGCGGGCAGGAGGCTCATAGAATGTTCTCTGGGATCTCGCGGGGGGGCCTCTAGGGGGCCTCGCGGAGGCAGCTTTGCAACCAATTGGGGGCCGTTTTGGAGGCCTCCTTCGGGCCTCGTGGGGGCCTCTTGGCGCCTCCTAGGGGCCTTTCGGTGCGGGAGGCTCGGATTTTCCGTTCGTGTACCCTCTCTTGGGCCCTTTTTGGGGCCGTCTTGGGGACCTCTTGGGCCGTCTTGGGCGCCTCTTGGGCCGCGTCTGGGAGAGTCGGAAAGCCGAACGGCGGGAACGCCAAAATCCTTCAGAAGCTGGAGGCAGATCAATGATTGTTGTCTCTTGGGAGGCCTCTTGGAGGCCTCTTGGGGCGTCTTGGAGGCCTCTTGGGCTATCTTGAGGCCATCTTGGGCGTCTTCGAGCGATCGTTCGGCGACTCGGGGCCCTTTTGGACCGTCTGGGGGGCTTCCTGGGCCGTCATGCAAGCCTTGGAGAGCCCCAGGGAGGCGCCATGGACGCATCATCCCTGCAAGGCAGCCCTTGGCATTCCTCCACGCCTCAACGTGCCACAGGCATGGTGGCGGATATGTTTTGTGGTAGTTTGTTGAATAATTATGTTGGTGCACCTTGTTGTTAGCGTTTGCCCCTGGCTTGCCATACGCTTGCCTCCGGTCATATTCCAGCTTGTCCTTTTGCCCCGTCTTGCTGTTCACATGTTTCTTGTATGCTTAGGCGTGCAGCAGAATGAACATAATTCTCATTCGGCGTAAGTCGGCATGTCCCTCTACAGGAGGAGTAGTCAAGAATATAAACATGTATCTGTGACGTTTTTGTTTCGTGCTCTTTTGACCATGCTCGATCATTTATCGATCATGTTTTGCTATCGCAAGATCCGCCTGTAGGAGGTCATGTCCGACATGAAATTAGGCGGCACGCCATACTCGTCTTGAAAGGGTAGTCGGGTCTCGCTGCAGCTGCATCTTTTCAGTAGTCCGCTACATCGGTAGTTACGTGTTGTGGTGCTGGTATTATTTCATCGCGTCGCTCATGCCGCCGGCCCATGATGTGGCATTGCTGGCTTTTGCCCGCGCGTTCGTTGCCCAAGTTTCGCTGCTGGACGGTGGTCGTTTTCAAGAGGCATTACGTCAGCAGTCTTGGAGGTGGAGCGGTTCCTGTGTAGTTGGTTCTAGGGGCTTGTTTGGGTATGTGGCACCCATGGAGTTGGGCTTGTCACCCATGGAGTTCCGCTGCTGGGGCATTCGAGTGCTTGTTTGGGTTCCGTTTGCGGCTTCGTTGGAATTTCTGGGGCGCGCGTTGGTGTTTTTTTTGTGCGGATGCTGGATTTCATTCGGCCCGCTCTACGACGAATCTTGCTGGATCCTGGGTCCGCCGCATACGAGTTGAACATGCTCGGGAAGGGTATCGCGTCTTGGGGTCCTTGGGAGGCCTCTCGGGAGCCTCTTGGGACCTCCTGGGGCTTCACGGGGTCCTCTAGGAATCTCTTGGGGGCTATTGGGGTCCTCTGAAAGGGCCTTTGGAGCCGTCTTGGGTACCTCTTGAGCCGTCTTGGAGGCCTCTTGGGCCGTCTTTGGGCCCTCGTGGGCCGCTTTCCGGCCCTGTTTAAAGCCTCTTGGCCTGTCTTGGGGCGATCTTGGGCCGCTTTCGAGTGCGGGGAAGCCGAAAAGGCGAGAACGCCAAAATGCTTCATTGTTGCCTCTAGGTGCCCTCTTAGGACCCCTCTTGGGGGCCTCTTTGGGCCCCTTGGAGGCTTCCTGGGGCGTCTTGGAGGCGTCTTCGGCTGTCTGAAGGCTATCTTGGGCGTCTTGGACGGATCGGTCGCCGACTCGGAGCCCTCTTGGACCGTCTTGGGGGCCTTTTGGGGTCCTCTTTTCGCGCTCGGGGGCGCCTGCAAGGCTGTACCCAGGAGGAATGCCGTCTCTGAACCGATTTGTGCAGGATACTTTCCGTCCAGGGACCCCCAGGGGCCGCTTCGCGTGCGCGAATTAGACACCCTTTTAACCAGTTGCCGGAGATCTTAGCACGCCTCTGGCCCGTTGGGCCGGCGATCTGTCTTTCCTGTTATTCTTCGTCTCGCCCTTCTGCTCCTGCTACCTCCATCCTGGATGGAAGGCAGGCGGCAGGGACGGGGCCTCCTCGCACTCCCTGGCGCGAGTGTGACTGCCTCCCGCGCGAGGCGCACGAGGCTCTGCGCTGTCTGCCTAACGGGGCGGAGTGTGAGAGGTGGAGTCCGCGAGGGCAGCGCCGGGGGGGCGGAGGCGGTGGTTTCGACAAGGGCGGCTACGACCGTGGCTCAGGCTCGCCGCCTCTGCCGCCGCTCCTCCGCCTGCCCCGCGCTGGGGCCTCAACTCGTGGTCGCGGCTCCTCCGAGGAAGGGCGAGCTGCAGAGGCAGGAACCTCTGGAGCCCCGCGCGGACTTCTCGGATCGGCGCTGGGCGCCCCTCCCCGGCGCGCGGAGCGCGCCAGGGGCGGCGCATCAGGCGCCGCCTGGGGGCTCCAGCGCCGAGCCAAGAGATCTTCGTGCCGATGCAAGCTCCACGAGCGGAGCTCCAGGAGGTCCGCGCGGAGCCCCAACAGTTTACACGCAGGCCGACGGAAGCTCCGAGAGTTGACGTCCGCGCGGAGCAAAGTTTTCATTGCCTCTGCCGAGGCACGTCCGCGCGGAGCTCCAGAGCACCCGCTCGGAGCTCCATCGGCGTCCGGGTGGCTCGATCCTGCCGCGGAGGGCCCGCCGCACCAACGTGCCACGCCGAGCGCGACACGACGCCCCGACGGGGCCCCGGCGGGGCTCCCCGACTGCTCGCACGAAGAAGCGGGGTGACGAGGAGGCGGAGGAGGAGGAGGAGAGGGGGCGGAGGAGGAGGAGGAGGAGGAGGAGGAGGAGGAGGAGGAGGAGGAGGAGGAGGAGGAGGATGGGGGCGGAGGAGGAGGAGGAGGAGGAGGAGTGGAGGGTGACCGGGAAGGAGGGACGGAGAATGAGCAGGAGGAGGAGGAGGAGGAGGAGGAGGAGGAGGAGGAGGAGGAGGAGGAGGAGGAGGAGGAGGAGAGGAGGAGGAGGAGGAGGAGGAGGAGGACGAGGAGGAGGAGGCGGAGGAGGAGGAGGAGGAGGAGCAAGCAGCGACCAGATGCGGACATGCAAGGAGGAGGAAAAGGAGGGAGCGGCAGGAATGGCAGGGAACGTGCAACCGCGCGGGGGGGGCGGATCGGAGGGGTCCTCGCCGTCGGTGCCAGGTCCGCGCCGTCGTGGTCAGCGCCGTCGTGGTCGTCGGGTTGGGTCTCAGTGGGCCGTGGGGAAGGACCTCCAACACCTTCCAAAACGATTAAACAACGCCCCAACAGATTTCCCAAAGGACTTCAAAACCACCGCCCCGAGGGACCCGCAAGAGGCCCCCAAGAAGCGCGCGGAGGCACACAAGAAGAGCCCCCGCAAAAGGATCTCAAAGGGCTGCAGACAAGCCCTTCGAAACCCCAAGGACCCAACTCGGCCCATAAAGTCCGTCATGCGCTTCATGACGCGTGTCCAAATCCCCAAGATCTCTACACGGCCCATGGGGTCCGTCATTCGTTTCAGTTCGCGTGTCCAGATGCCGAACGCTTTTCAGCACCTCCATGTTTCCAGGGTGGGCGGATGCGTTTCTGGGATCGCTGGATGTTTGCCGAGTCGAACAAGGTTGTGGCGGTGCTTTTCCATAGTTGCTTCCAAGTTCTCCCTTCACCCGTGCCCGTCGTGACCTTAATGAAACTTCGGGGGAATAATGTGAACGCCGTGCTCTGATTTGCATTCCACGCTATAGTAGCTTGTGTTGCCAGCACGTACTGGCTTCGGTGCGCATGTCGTTCGAGCACCCCCAGCGGCAAACACGCCGCTTTACATAAGTTGTTTGGTGTTTTTTCGTGCTTGAGCGTTGTTCTGATGAGATCAGGTGTCTGCCAAGCTGAGCCGTTCAGAAATTTGTCTTTCACTGCCAGCTTCTGCTCTAGGTGATCTCCAACGTTCCCGCGCTATGCCGCGGAGAGAAACGCAGGAACATCGAACGTTGACATCAACGGATACTGCCAGCGTCGTCAGCCGGCGTCCGCTTCCTCCAGCATCGTCGTCGCGAGTCGTCGTCATTATCGTTTTCGTCATGCTCTATACCTCAGTCCTTCGCCCACCTCGCGCTTGTCATCCCAACAACCTTGCTCCACGTCCTTGCGCTTGCCATCCCCCCCGTGGTCCTCTTGTTGTTTTCGCCGTGCTCCGCGTCTTGCGCACTCTTGTCGGCGCCCGCCCGACCAACCCCACGACCCAAATGCGGCGCCTCCCCTTCTTGCCCGCAGGGGTTCCCGAGTTGCCCACGATCGTGCCACAGGGTGCGCCCTGCGATCACCCCGGCCAGCCCTCAGAGGGAGCCGACCCGGAGCCCCGGCTCGGCCCGAGGACGGGCCCCCGGCGCTCCCAGAGCCCCGACGTGGACTCCAAACGCCACGCAGACACCCACCCCCTCCCCGGCCACGGAGCACAGACCTTCGACCTCGCCACCAGGCCTGCGCGAAGTGGCGTTGCCGATGAGGCATCGGGTGGCTCACCATCAGAGGCTGCTGGCGCGGCACAGGGGGTATCCCTTCTCTCCCGCCCCTGCCTTTTCCCACCCATTGTTTTCTTCCTCGCCGCTCCCGCGTTCCCGCGCCCCTTCCCGGGGGGGGGGGTGGGTGGGGGGGGCGAGGCGGGGGAATCGGGAAGGGTTCGCGAGGGAGGATGATAGATGAGGAAGGAGGAACGGGTGGCCGATGAGGAGGTGCAGGAAGAGGGAGGGCGAGAACAGGAGGGTGGAGGGGGGAAAGGGGGAGCGAATAACAACGGAGAGGGACGGAGGAGGGCGAGGATGACCAGCCCTCGCGCCCGAGGCTACGAGAAGAGGCGCGACGACGGGCGCGACGCAGGCCCAGCCCAGCTGCGGACGGGCAGACGGGGCGGCCGGCTTTGCGCCCTGCCTGCTCGGAGAGAGGGAAGAGAAGGGAGGGGGAGGAAGCAAGCCAGGTGCTCTCGCGACATCCTTTACCATGGCGTAGCTTTCCCTCTTGTTCGCGCAGCCGGATGTCGTAGCACAGCATAGCATCACATGGCATAGCGTGGTGTTGAATATCAACGCGTATTCTGACATAGCATGGCGTGGCGATGCCCCGAAGTGGGGAGTTATGCGGTCCAAAAAAATCAGCGAACCGACACCGAATGTGTAATCATTTCCGATGGTTGTTTCGGGGGGGCAGTCTCTAGATTTTGGGGCTTATTTGGAAGGCCCGAAAACCTGGCCGTGGCATGGCGCGGGGCATACTGACGGAAGCGCTGCAGCGGGAACACGATTCGGAAGGAGCGGAAGCGCGGAAATGAGGCCAACGTTGCAGCGGTAGCATGATTCGGCATGGCCTGGCAACGCCCACAAATGGGGGGGCTTGGCGCCGAATGTGCAATCATTTCCGATGTATTGTTCGTGGGGGGCATTGTCTAGATTTTTGGGATGCGTTGGAAGGACCGAGAACCATGCCGTGGTATGGCGCTGGACATAATGACGGAAGCGCTGCAGCGGGAACACGATTCGGAAGCGGAAGCGCGGAAATGAGGCCAGCGTTGCAGCGGGAGCACGATTCGGAGGACGCGGAGCTTGACATAGCATGGCGAGGCGACGCCCCAAAGTGGGGGGGAGGGGGGCTTCTGCGACCCATAAATTCAGCGAATTGACACCGAATGTGTAATCACTTCCGATGATTGTTTCGGGGGGGCAGTTTCTTGATTTTGGAGCCCACTTGGAAGAACCGAAAACCATGCCGTGGCATGGCGCGGGACATAATGACGGAAGCGCTGCAGCGGGAGCACGATTCGGAAGGAGTGGAAGCGCGGAAATGAGGCCAACGCTGCAGCGGCAGCACGATTCGGAACGAGCGGTGGCCCGAAAATGTAGTCAGCGCCTGAGCGAGAGCAGCATTTTGAAAACATCCCAGCGAAAACCAACGAAAACCATATGTAAGAAGCCAGGAAGTTGAGAGGGGCTGGCCATTTCCCGGACTTCACCAGGGGAGAGAGGAGATAAGAATTCAGATTGTGTAAGTGTGAGGGAGGGGGAAGGAGGGGAGGGTGGGAGGGGAGGAGGTTCGAGGTTTGGCCAATCCTACGTAGTGGTTGAAACGAGCTCTGTGCGACGTCGCAACTCAGTCTTGCTGGGCTGCTTCGGCCATGTCCCCCCCTCGATCCGTGAGGTGTACTCGGTGGTGACGGTCGACATCACCATGAGGTTTGGTTTAGTGTTTCGTGTGGGCAGTTCGCGCAGTCTCCCTCCTTTCCCACCCCTGCCGTTCTCGCCTTCCCTGCCGTGCCCCGTTTGCCGAGTGTCTAGCAGGAGAGTGCACGCCGATTGCTGCAGAGGCCTTCTCCCAGAGACGAGGCCGAAGGACACGCGCAATTTCTGTGCTCTATGTTCCTTGATTGTGCACCCATCCTCCCCAATTTCCCCCTTGCCCTCCCCTCCCCAGTTTGCCCGCTTCTCACTTCCTACCTAACCTCTTTCTGACCCTACCAGTGTTTGTCTCAAACCTCTTCCCTCTTCCCACGCCCCACCCCTCCATCCATCCATCCATCCATCCATCTCGCCCCCCTCCCCACCGAACTCCCGACTCCCTTTCCTTTTCTGCGCCCCCCCGATGTGGCCTCCAAGAGGGCCCCCGAACGACCAAGGTCACTGCTCCCCCCAGGTCCCTCCTAAACCCCCCCTGTCCATGGCTCGGTGGGCTTTGCAAGCAGCAGAGCCTTTGTGTTTACAGTCAACCCACATAGTACTGATGGGCAACCTGCCCAAGGGTACACTTGCATCCTTGCCTCCTCGGTCCGTTCTCGGCCACTCGATGGCCAGGCCCCGCTCGAAAAACTTCGAGATGGGCGTCCAAGGCCCTCGCATCCTTATCGCGCAACCTTACTACTACACGGGTTAACTGTACCGTTTCCGAGAATTTGGTTCTTGTGTCTACAACACTTCGAGGCAAGCCGTTCCCCGGAGTGGGGGCCAAACAGAAGCGTCACCATAATCTCGGAACCGCAAGCGCAGCAAAAGTTGCGACGGAACCAGGAACAACCATGGCGGGAAACAAATCTTATAAAAGTAAACCAGGTCCCATCAGAAAAGCATCCGTCGTTTCCAGGGCCTGGTCATGTTCGTCGTCCCAATTCATCACGTCCGACCTGGTCTTCCGCTCTGTCCCCCCCGGAGCGGAGCCGGCGCGGCACAGGCGGCCGTGGCTACGACAAGGGAAGCGGCGCGAAGGCTGGCCGCGGTGTGTGTGTGTGTGCGCGTGTGTGTGCATGTGTGTGCGCGTGTGTGTGTGTGTGTGTGTGTGCGTGTGTGCGTGAATGTGTGTGTTTTTGTGTGTGTGTGTGTTTGTGTGTGTGTGACTGTCTGTGTGTCTGCCTGTCTGTCTGGTTGTGTTTCGGTTTGTCTGTTTGTCTGTCCGTCTGTCTGGTTGTCTATCTGTCCATCTCTCTGTCTGTCCGTCTGCCTGCCTGTCTGTCTGTCTGCCTGTGTGCTTGCCTGTTTGCCTGCCTGCCTGTCTGCCTGCCTGCCTGTCTGCCTGCCTCTCTGTCTGTCCGTCTGTGTGTCTGTCTGTCCGCCTGTCTGTCCGTTTGGGTGTGTGTGGGTGTCTCTGTATGTTTGTGTGTGTGTGTGTTCTGTCGTGTCGAGTTGAGTTGAGTTGAGTCGTGTCGTGTCGTG